GCAGGCACTGCAGAGCTTGATGGAGCCGATGGGTGAGGGCACTCTGTCTGTGACACCTGTTCTAATAACAAACTGGCAGCCCTAAGTCGTCTTGCGTGCCCTGCCCATGCCAGGTCTTTTACTTCTAATAGAATTATCATTAGCTCGCTGTCACATGAACATCCATTTTCATTAGAACCATTTCACTACTCAAATCTCTTATTCACGGTACTAATTAGACTTGTACTTTATGTTTTTGATTAAGAATAAAGATGATTTGTTATTAGCTTAAATCCTAAAAGTATTTTCAGGAGGTCGCGACAACATCCGTTCTCTTCTGGCATCTGAATAACAATTTCAGCCGTGCTGTCAGGGATCTTGTCAGAATTGATGGCATTATAAGCACAGAAAAGTATGGTCTGATTTGATCTGCAACATCCAAAGAAGAGCATTGGAAGGTCTTTCACTGAGCCTGGAGAGCTATCTGTGAAGCTTGCTTAAAAATACTGACTTACATTGAAAATTGTACAGACTTTTTTTGCTTTACAAACTGTATTTCCATGTGTGTTTGCATGTCTTTCAATAAATCACTACATTTCCCATTTTTCTAGCAAATTATAAAGAATGGTTGGGGTAACTCAAGACTTTTGCACAGTGTGTAATATAATGTAGTAACAGATTTATGTTTCAATTTTATTTAAATAAGGTGTTCACTGATTTTGGCATCAATGCTTTCTGTTGTTGGCACATATTTTACCAAGTTACTCTTATGAAAATGTTTTTTAATATATGGGATTATGATCATAAAGGTAGAGTGTTGTGTTTTCTCTCTTCACAGCCGAGACAAAGATCTGCTTTAAATATTATCACGGTATAAGTGGAGCATTAAGAGCAACAACACCTTGTATCACCGTCAAGAATCCTGCAGTACCCGTATGTATAGTTGTCTGTGTCCCACCTTCTTTTCTCCCAGTGATTGTTTTATCCTCTGTCCAGGTGTGGGCAGCTGCCATTTGTTACAAATGTGTATGTTTTATATCTGAC